TTGACTGTCGTGGATAATGAAGAGAAGAATAGTTGGGGGGCTCAGTCAAAAAAGGAAGGCAAAAATAAATTATAATATTTATTTTTTACATCTGCCGACGTTTCGACCTGAAGTTCAGGCCATCATCAGGGCTAAGAAAATAACCAGATAACAAGGTATGAGAAACTTAAGTAATGATGGTAAAAAAGATAATAACAAAAAAAAAAAATGAGAAAATAAAATAGATTAGATCTAGATAAAATAGATCTAGATAAAAGAAAAATAAAATAGATAGATATAAAGTAAAATAAAATTGTTAGAATAATGACTAAGAACTAAGAATAATGACTTGTTATCTGGTTATTTTCTTAGCCCTGATGATGGCCTGAACTTCAGGTCGAAACGTCGGCAGATGTAAAAAATAAATATTATAATTTATTTTTGCCTTCCTTTTTTGACTGAGCCCCCCAACTATTCTTCTCTTCGTAAATAATTCATAACAACGAAAATCTTTAGGTGTGAATATCTCCTAAACAAAGCGTTTGCGGACATACCTTCAAAGGAAATTTTTTTCTTGTTTTGAGGTCCTTAGTTCGTATTTTCAGTTTGACCATTTATCCCTGAAACATCCTATACATGTCTAAAAAAATCAAGTTTTGGTGCCCCCAAATGTTTCAAGAAAAATATCATAAAGTAAAAGAAAAGTAATAAAAAAACTAAAGTTTTACAATTTTTTTTTTTGCATAATATCAAACTACTTTATTTTTCTTAAAAATTCATCAATAATTTTAACAGTGTATTGCTCTATATAGAAATAGAAATAAAAATAGAAAATCATCTTTATTCTGGGACTAGATCCCTTAAGAATAACCAATTGACAATAAATCTGGCCAGATGACGTATTATAATAAAGAGTAACTACAATCTAACTAATAAAATGAGTATATAAATAGTTTTGGAGGGTATATTAAGGAAAGCAGATGGGTACAAGGGTTACAATATTATAATATTGGTACAAAAAACAAAAACATACTAATAACTAAATAAAATTGGAAAGAAACACTAAATAAGTTTTATAGGTAACCAAGTTTAGTGATAAAATATAAATAAAAATAACTATAATAAATAAATTATTTATATATGTTCCTTAAGACGTTTAAGTGAAAACACATGATATTGTGAAAATCTAGACAAGTATTGTGATCTACCGATGATGCAACAGATTACAAACAGAAAAAAAAATACATATACATATATATATATATATATATATATATATATATATATATATATATATATATATATACATATATATATACATAGAGAAGAGTGTGTAGAAGATAAGTAAAAAATAAAATACTTTTAAATAAAATAAAATACACTTAAAAAAAATACAATCTTATGAATAGAAAAGGTAGAAGGTAAGAGGTAAAAGGGTATATACACAACACAACAGCTGTTATATATGTTATTAAATCTTTCTTTTCCCATAGTGCTCCTTAAATAATTTCTCTTAAACAATTTAAAGCAATGTTCCCACTGCCATTTAAATTTCAATAAAAATTTAACAGGGCTTATTAGGATCAGCTCTCACACCATCAAACCATTTGATGATGGCCTGACAGCTGAAATGTCTTGAAAACAAAAATTGTTGGACCAGTGACGTTGTTTTTCCAGTCTCAGGAATCGCTAGTATTTAAATTTAGTAAGGGTCCATTCACTCACTATTTTTCACCCTCACAAATCAAATGTAATACCCTCCCCTCCTTTTTATCCAAGGAAAAGGGGGACTTTTTATTTATAAAATTTTATTTTTTAAATAATTATTTGTTGAGTATTATTATTTTAAGCGATAATGAAACTTTGGTTTCTATTGAGGTCTTTATTACATTAATTGATTCATATTTATAAGTGATTAAATAAATGTTCTTAATCCTAATATTTACGTTTTTATGAAAATAATTTAAGCAATCAGATTTCTTTACTTTAAACGTATACATTAAGATAAGGAACATTTAGTAAGTCACTTATAAATACAGACCTTTCTGCAATAGAGAACATAATAAAAAACATTTTCATAATTACTTGTACGATAAATATTTGAAAAATCATTATTTTTATAAATAAAAAGTGTATTTGGAGGATCCAAGACACATTGGCTTCAAGTGCAAAAGATTCGAGAAGCGAAGAAGAATTAGTTTAGGATTGCAAACTACGGATGATGGAGCTAACTTTCTTCGGTCAATGAATAAAGATAATGCCTGTGACTTGATAAAGTTTTTGAATGACATAAAAGCAGTTATATAATAAAAGTCGCCTCTTATTCTCATTTAATTGTTATGAAACTACTGTCACTTCAGTTTTTAACTATTAATATCAGTCTTTCAAGTTTAAGTTCTATATAAGTTACATTCAGTGATCATTGATCTAGAAATATTCAATAAATGTCCAGTGTAATTTCATCTTACAATGACAATTAAAATATTGTATTGGAAAAATAGGACTTGCTTTTACAAGCCTTAAAGCCAAAAAAGAACAAAAAAAAAGTGTATTTATAAATTTATTTTTATTATAATACATTCCAGGTAATGCAGACAAATAAAAAAAAAAAAAAAAAAAAAGAAATTAAAGCTTTGCAATAATTTATTGCAGTCATTTTTGTTGATAGCAGACGTACTTTTAGGTAACAGGATATCAAATTACCTAATTTTTTTACACAACTTGAAGTGAATCTCAAATTATTTCGTGATAAAGCTCAACTTGATTAACATGGACTTAAAAAGTCTATTCACAAGGAAGTTTTTCTAAAAGTGGGTTATAAGTAGTTGAGTTGGGGGATGGTAAAAAAAACGTGAATAATTCACGATTTTTTTTTTAAACATTACTTAGCTTAATTTAATCGCTCAAAAATCCTCTTTAATGGTTTTAACTAAGACAAATTTACAATTAATTAAATTAAATATGTCTTTAGTTATCGCTTCCTATTCAATAAGAAACGTGACTTAGCTTTAATTTCCTAATTTTCTGTGGAAAATCGGACCATTATTTATAAAAACTTTTTTTTTAGCTCTAAAGGCCTGCTATCATCCCTTTAAATATTTTCCTCTATTTACAGGACATCAAGCACATTAATATTATTCCTTCTTTTAGCCAATTTTGTGATAGATGTTTCGAATAAAGCTCATAATGTTTCCAAAAGATCCATTTTTCCCAAAAATCATTAATATTATTGGATATTGTATACAGTCATAAAAGAAAATGAAAGCAAATGCATAAATTTGATGAGTGTGACGAATGTGGTAATTAATCATTTTACATTAAATAAATATTTTATATAGTCGATACAAATGCTATCTTATATGAAAATAAGAAAAATTTTCCATCCTGCAGTCTAGCGATTGTAATAGTAATTAAATATTTTTAAAGAGTAAATACAAAATATATCACTATCTATATTAGTGACCTTCCTGACGCCATTCAACACTCCAGTTACCATCTATATGCCGATGATTTCCAAATATACCAATCATTCCAACCTTCTGAGATGCCTGAGGAGGATGCCGAAGGCTACAAGAGGACTTTGACTGCATCAACGGATGGGCAGAAATAAATGAATTAAAGCTGAATGCAGATAAAACCAAGGCTATTATCATCGGGTCCAGACATCTCATCAGCTCCCTTCCTTACTTTCCTCTACTTTACCTCAATAACCATCCATTTTTTCCCTACAGTCAAAAACCTAGGAGTAACCTTTGACCAGAACCTCTCCTGGAATAACCATATCTCCCAGATTACCCGAAAATCCATAACTGCCCTTAAACAACTCCTAAGATTCCGTGATTGTATTCCTCTAAAAATCAGACAGCTCCTTGTAACCTCCCTTGTATTCCTCCACTTCGACTACGGCTGCTTGGTGTATGGAGGGCTATCTGCTAGGCTGGAAATGAGACTCATGAATTGTTTCATAAGATACATTTTCGGGATCCCCAGGCGTTTACATGTTTCACTCTGGTACACCGAGTTGAAGTGGCTTTATCCTACTTCTCGACGACAATTCCTCCTTTTCCAAGTCTTCAAAACCAAAAACCCTCCCTACATCCTAGAACTTCTTACTCTACGCTCCGCTGTCCACTCTCTCAATACTAGATCTCAACCTATAGACTTATATATTCCCTCCCATAAAACTTCCTCCTTCAGCAAATCCTTCGTCATTCGTGCTGCTTCCTTATGGAACTCACTTCCTACCTCCATGCGTCAATCCTCGTCCACAAATTCCTTCAAACAACTCCTGTTCCACCTCCTGCTCCACATTCAAACTTCCCCTAACATGTAAAATTACTTGCATCTGTACAATGTTTAGTTTCAATCTATTGCACGATTGAAATAACAATTAACAGTAAATTAGTTTGTATTTTTATTATGTCAGACTAAGACCCATAAATTTGTAACTCTGTTATTATTCTTAGGGGACAGTAGTCCCAGAATAAAATTATTTTTTCATTTCATTTCAAAATCTTCAAACATTCATATAAGCAGATATTAGTGTGGAAATTAAAACATGTTCGTTGCTTGGGCCTGAATTGATAATGATATTAGAGTGGTGTTTTTCAGATTCGATAGTTAACATTTTAATTGACGATATCATCTATAATTTTTACTTTCACTTCTCTGTATATGAAAATACCTACTTTCAAGTAGGGGTGGTATGTGAAAATTGTGTGCTGCACGCACCACACTACATTTTGTCTTTTGTTTTCATCCACTATAATTTTAAATTGTTCTTGAACTCCCTAAATACCATTATAAGTACTTAAATACTACTAAATATGATTATTTATTTTAATTTTGTCCCACAACACTTCTTTACTTACAGTTCAATTTCATCGGTCCATTCCATGTTTAAGACTGTTATGCAGTCCACTGTTACCTGTTATATGTGTGGTTGAAGAAAATGAAGAGACTTTAGAAGAAATAGGTTGAGAAGACAACATATATTTAAAAAAAAAAATTATTAATGTGAGATTGGTTTAGAATATAAAAACAAATAATGTAATAAAACTGGAATTGTTATATTTTATATTTACAAAGTGAAGCACTATAACAAAAGCAACAAAAAAAAAAAAAAACAACAAAGAAAAGAAAATAATAATAAAAATTGTATATGTATTTTACAGTTACATATATACTTCATATTTAGGAAACTTATTAAAAATATAAGTAAAAACCTAGAACAAAATCTAACTATCTTTATTCTATACACTAACAATTTGACGACTCCTTATTTTACACACTATTTACATTTCAGAGAATGTTTTTTTCTTTTTTTTACATTCGACAATATTAAAAAATAACAGAGCCTCGATTTTATCGTACAATGGAACTAGAAAAATATTTTTTACTTAAAAACATACGAACATTAAAATGGTAATCTCCACGATATAATACTACTAGGAATATATCTTTTACCTAACTATACAACTTTAAAAAAAAAAAGAGGAAAAAAAACAAAAACAGAAATTAAATTAACTAAAACCATTTACAAATAATGTCATTTTCGAACAAGATTCATTCACATTGTCTTTACGCACTCGCAGAAACTTGTGTTGTTTCAGTTGTGCTCTCTACTTGATCGTCAGAACTGTTTTCTGGCTGCAAAAAATAAAATAAAGTAAATAAATAAAAATCTTTAGACAGGCAAAATATCATTTTATCTCAGGGGTTGAAACTTTTTAGGGAAAAGGTTTCAAGAACCTCTTTTGCAATAAAAGTTAACCTTTATTATGGGTGATAAATATTCAGGATGCAGCCATTATATAGTTTTTATTGGTGCCGACATATCAAACCAAACATGTGGATCATCATCAGGGCGTGTTTCGAGCACTGAACTACTCCAGTACTTGAATACCTTCAGTGCTCGAAATACGCTTTGATGATGACCCACATGTTTGGGTTGAAACGTCTGCACCAATAAAAACTTTATAATGACTGCTTCCTGAATATTTATCACCCATGATATGTAGAACAATCGACTAACTTCTTCCATTAATTAAATTTTATTAATTTAAGTTTTTTAAAAAAAGGTTACATTATTGGCTCTAGATTACAGATATAATCTATTAAATGCATTTGATTTTTTTGTTTTCTTTAAGAAGAATTTTATTCTGGGACATTTGGTCCCCCTAAAAATAATGTAGAAAAAAAAAATTAGGAATGACATTTACATTTATCTGGCACACAACAGCACAAAAAAATTAGGGTAAATGCACTTATTATTGACACGTTACCAATTATGGACACTTTTTTTACTAACTTAATTTTTCAACTCACACCTGTCAGAAGTTCCGACAATCAGCGAGTGTGATGTCAAGATGTAGAAAGTTAATATGTCTTGGAATAGACGTGAGAGAGAGAGGAGTGCCCAGCGGCGTCCTTCTTCTCTTGAATGTATTATTTATAGTTAGTGGAGAAGATCCCTCATCCGGCTTCTTTTTAGCCTCCTTTGGGTGCTATGGGGCATGTTGTGGCCATGCCTCAAATCAATGAGTTGGTATGTCCGTGTAAGTTATTATGAAATATCTTGTAGTGTGTACGTATGTGGTCGTTAACTGTTGGCATCTGTAAGTCTTTATGTAAAGTAATGTTACTGACATGCCACGGAGCCTTGGTGACAGTCCTGAAAGTTTTAGATTGATAACTTAAATTTGATAAAAATAAACGTTAAGGTTCATTTAGGATTTTAAACTTGGAGACCTTTCCGATGCTGATTAATGTGCTTTTGAAAGGGCTCCAAGTTTGAAACATGAACATTTATTTTATCAAATTTAATTTACAAGTAACAACAATTGGTAACATGTCAATTATTGTTGACTTTATCCTAATTAAATTACAAAGTTATGTAACATTAAAATACAAATAAAAGACTAGCGCAAGCAAACAAATGAAATAATGAAATCATAGACAAATAAATTTTTTTAAGTTAACATATTTGTAAAGGTAAACAGTAAATACCAATTGTGAAATAACATGTAACATTAAAATAAGATTGGCAACACTGAATTAAGGAATATGTGTCATTTGAGTAGCTAAGAATAAATAGCACAACAGAAACTTTTAATTATTTCTTTTTATTAAAATAAAAGTTACTAGACGAGATGTATTTCTTTAATACAGTTATAAATATAATTAAGAAATAAAAAATAAAAGTTTTGTAAAATCTTCACTTGAAAATTGGCAATGGAAGAATACCAATTCCGAAATAACAGAAAAAATAATAAAACATAAAGAATACTTAATAGTTGACAGTTTTTTTATTAAGGAAGGAGATAGTGCGAGGTGGTGGTCATAAATAGATTAAATAGTGGCAAAACTATCAAAAAATAAAATAGTTTTACCACTATTTAGTCTATTTATGACCGCCACCCCTTTCTTAATAAAACATAAAGATCACAAACCTAACGGAACTGATTAAAAATAAAAGTTGAAATCTCATTTTAAGCTCTGCTTTGTACATATCGTTGATTTATTGCTAAAAACCACTAAGTACATTTTTGATGAAATTGAACTTATCGATATTTACAGACCACAGTAATTGTACTAAATCCTTTTATATATATCAAATATAGTTACAACGCGCACACAATTTCAATTTTGATTTCACAAAGAGAAAATTTATTTTAAAGCTTTTAGTGATTTAAGGCTATGAAATACCACTTATTATTTCTTCTTATAGAAATGTTTTCTTTAAAAAATAATTTTTCATGCGTGCTACCTTGTTTTGGAATTCCCTTCCAACCTCCATACGTAAATCATCATCCTTGACCTCATTGAAACGTAATTTATTTATCCATCTCCTCAGCAATCAATCTTCCGAATATGTATAAAAGAATGTTCACGTTTTTCAGATCTGTTATTCTCTTTAATGTTATCTGACAGATAATTATATATCACCCACATTGTTTATGTGTACAAATATGTGAACTCGCATATCTGAATTTAACTATGATTTCATATAACTAACAGTGCCTTTCCTTTATTGTAATTATAGATCTAGACAATCATGTAATCTAATTTATTTCCAATGCCAGACAATTGTCATTAAATTGTATATTGTAGTTATTCTAAGGGAAATTAGTCCCAAAATAAAATTTATTTTTATTTTTCTTCTTAATGACTTTTTGTAATAAACTTGCGATTTCTAAAAAAAAAAAGATTATGGTTATATAATTTTATTAGTTAGAATATTTTACAATAAGTTGCTAGCACTGGTAAATTATATGTAAACTATATACAGTGAAACTTTTGTATATAGTGGATTTCTCCTTATGGATATTTTACATTATTATAGATTCTACATAACCAACAGCAGGAAATTAGTAAACCTCTTATTCTAGGAAGTTTAATTCTATTAATATTAGCTTAGTTTAATTATTTATATTGAGAATACAGTTTGGGTTAGTAAATGTCAACTTTCCTCTGATTAATTTTTAAACAAAAAATTGTAAACAATAAGTGTGCTTACACATGCACAAAACTAATAATTCAAGAAATATCCTAGTCTTCTGATCAAAGAATAAGCTTGATAAATTAAAAACACTTCACAATATTTCTTAAAAAGAAATATGTGAGGAGGAAGACAAAAGGATTAGCATTGATTTTACCTTTAAAAGGTAATTTTGAAAACAAAATAGTAATGCAACAAAAATCTAAAAAATATATAATGAAATCAAATTTACAAAATACAGATTAATATAAGTAATTTGAAGTTATTATTATTATTTTTTTGTAGTAGTTTGTGTTATGCGTACTTTTGAAAAGTTTGCAACCAAATGAGGTTATACCCAAACTGATGTTTAAACGATGCCTTGTAGTTTCCCAAATTTGTACATAATAGTATCTCAACTTCTATTATAAATATTTTTTCTGCATGTTTTTTGTTCCATCCCAATCCATATGGATTAAGAGACTTATTAAGTTTTACCGTCAGTTTGCAAAACAAAATTGGATATGAAGATATTCAACAATTTTATCATACCTCATTTGTGCACCTAAGGTAAAAATTAAATATATATATGTCTTAAGTTTTTTTTCTTAGGACTTCAATATTAGTAATAATAAGAACACTTATTAAATTCCATTATTCCTATTTGTTTTTTTCTCTAGATCAAAGTTTCATCTCTTGGGTCATTTTTAAGGGAAGAGACCTTTTTTAAAATAAAATTAAATTCATTGGGCAATTCAGCTCATATGAGTTTAATTTAAATTTAAATTAACTTTCCTTTAAAATAGCCTAAGAGATGAAATGTTGGTGAAAAATAAAAAATAAAGTAGGGCTAATGGAATCTAATAAGTATTTTTCTTATTAATAAAAATTATTGTCCGGAAAGCAATGCGGGGTTTTGAGTTTTCTTTAAAATGCCCCTCTATATAACAAACTGTTTATGTTTACTGGATTATTTATTTGTATGAATGTCAACACTCATTAATCTTCTTCCAAATGATAACGTTTGTTCACCTCTGTAGCGTTTAGTTGCTTAGAAATAATTTAGTAAGATGGCAACACGTGATTTTCATATAATTTTGTTTAACGAGTTTAAACTCGATCGGAATGGGAACCAGACAGCCAAAAACATCAATCAAGTCTAAAGCGAGAGCAGCATTAATGAGTGCACTGTTCAATGGTGGTTCAAAAAATTTCGGGAGAGAGACTTCAGCCTCAAAGACAAAGAAGGTCGTGAAAGGACTTCCTCTCTTGATGACAATGTTCTGCGGGCTTCGGTTATAAACATTATAACATTTTATATTCATACTAATTATGGAACCATTTTTAACATAAATTGTGTTTAAAGTACTGTACAATAATAATTTTGCTGAGGTCTTAATAATAAAAATGCAATTTTAAATATAAAATTTTAGAGTGCTACCAGTGGGTAGTTTCTCAACAAGTGTTTTCATGTTTTTATTTTCTTTGATCACATTTACTGAATTTTTTATTAATACAGTTGTAAATATCATAAATAAATAAAATATAAAATGTTTAAATAGATATTTTTATATTTAATCTATATATGATTATTTATTTATAAAAACCCTTTTTAATCTTCCAGTCTTTTATTATATATTTAAAATTTTTTTACAAACATTTAAAAATTATTATTTTTTAACATTTCAGCTCCAAAAGATCAAGAAAAAAATAAAACAAAACATTTTATATTTAATAAAACAATTATTACCATTGAGTAGTATTCTGTATACACATATATTTTAAGAATTTTTTAGAAAAAAATGTTTTTATAGGATTATGTTCTGTTATTTAAAAAAGAAAAATAATTTTTGAAAATGGCTCTAAGAGCCGAAACGTAAAAAAAATAATAATTTTTAAATGTTAGCAAAAATCTTATAAATGTATAATAAAAAACTGAGATTAAAAAGAGTTTTGATAAACTCATTATATCCATGTAGAATTAAATGGTCTTTATATTTAATCTATATATGATTATTTATTTATCAAAACCCTTTTTAATCTCACAGTCTTTCATTATACATTTAAAAATTATTTTTTTTAATATTTAATATACGTTTCGACTCCAAGAGCCATTTTCAATAATTCTTTTTCTTTTTAAAAAAAATAAAACATAAGTCCTATAAAAACA